GTCATGTTGATAAAAACAACAAAAATACATCCAAAAACAAAACAAAACAAAAAAACCCAAAGCATGAAATGAACAGGGGTCACCTTTATTTTGAGGAGAGAACTGTCAGCAAAAGGAGTGAAAAAATGCAGAGCAGTAAAGCCTTTAGCTTGGAGGACTATAGTCAAAGGAAATTATCAGCAGCAACACTTGCCAATAATTGCAAATGGGCAAAGGATAGCCGACAATGATGGTCAATTTACTGATAAAAGATATTGTGTACATTTGTGGCTTAATGCCAATGCCAGAAGACATGCCTGCAATTCCAGTGAACTCTCAGCATTGCTCACAGTTTCTCGTTTCAGTAATTCTTTTCTTCTACCTTTCAAAGCTCTACAAAATTGTTTCATGAGAATTTTTCACCCTGTTATGTATCTACAATTCAATAACTAGAATTAAATTCCTGTCTTCTACCTTCTTTAGCCCTAAGTCTTCATATATCTAATCTCCGACCACTCAGTTGCCCAGTGAATTAGAGACAATCCTACACTATCTTGGGTTGCTAAATATAAGAAGACATCAATGAACAAAAGTGTTACATTTACTCCTCCCATTACTTTAGTACAATGCACAAACCAAGTAGAGGGAGTAAGATTTCCAAGGAAAGCTAAAGTAGGATACGGACTATTTGGATAGGGTAGTCAGAGTTGAAGAGTAGATATCCAAATTCCTACTATATAGAGACAATGGTGTTCTGCTTCCAATTATGGGAACTTCTGCAAATTAAGTATCATTTTGCAATTGTAGTATCTTTGTTGTTCACAAGCAAGATGCAAATCTTAGCATATACCCACTTTATCCTCTACTTCTCTTGAAGCCCCAGAAAGCCCCCAAAATTCACATAATTCCTAAAGTTACAACTCCACACCAGGGAAACAAAAGTCAAAACTCATTGTATCCTCAGGCAACTCAACAAGGTCAGATCAACAGAAAGCTCTGATTTCTCCAGCTCCCCATTTAGCACACTGAGGAGTCGAGAGAAGTTCAAGACCCCAGGTATAGACTTCAACCAAGAAGAAACAGGACATGGAGAGAAGACAACAGACATGTTGCTTGTCCTTAGTAAACCCTACCACAATTGTGAGGAAGACTGGTTGCATGAGCCTAGGGGAAATTCCTATGAAGTTCCTCAGTAATACGCAACTGTATGTTGGTTCTCATTATGCCTGGCAGTGTTCTATAGTCATTGAGAACACTGGAAATACAGGGTTAGCCACATACTTACTACAGGGCAATGACAGGCAGATCCCAGAAGCTTGTGGATCAGCTAGCATAAGATTCAAATGAGCTAATTGTTCTAATGCTTAGAACAGTGCCTGGTAAACATTGATGTATTACACACACATACCTGTTTAAATTAAACACAATTTGTGAACATTTAATTTAAAAATTAAGTAACTTAGACTGTACCATAATTTAAAGTTGATTTTAAAATTTTATGTTGCTTTTCAATTTTTATTATAAATTGCCTTCAAATAAACAATGGTCTTTATAGATTGAAAGAATTTCATTATAGTTAATTTCTTGAAGTTGAATAGATCATCAAAATGTCTATAGAGCATTTTAAAGATTCCTTATAAGCACTTCACTTGTTCAGTGTCCTTAATCTGAAAACCTAAAATCCACACTGCTTTAAAATCTGAAACTGAATTCCAACACAACTAGCAAATGTTTTATAATCTAGAAACCCCTGAAATCTGAAATACTTAGTATCTCAAATACTTGATATGATACTCAAATATACCAATTTATCTTCCAAACCCAAAGCCTGTGGATGTCACCATCTCTCATTTGAATCTTTTTTGTTGTTGTTTTATTTTTTGGCTTTTTGTTTTTTTTTGTTTTTGGTTTGTTTTTTTTTTTTTTTTTTTTTTTGTTTTGTTTTCTGAGACAGAGTTTCTCTGTGGACTTGGAGGCTGTCCTGGAATTCACTCTGTAGACCAGGCTGGGCTTGAACTCACAGAGATCTGCCTGCCTCTGCCTCATTTGAATCTTTTAACAGCTCCAAATTAGATAATATTCCCATTTTTCTTGTTACAAAACAATGTTGTAACCATTTCTGCTTTGAAAAAGGTTGAAAATAAACATGCAGTGAATACATATCCCACACATTCAAAATACTCAAAGGGTCTTTATGAAACTGATAATAGTACTCTGAAAAATTCATGTATTATTTTCATTAGAATTTTAAGCATTCACCAAAACAAAACTGCATGAGTATACAGGAAATATGATATTTGATCAAGATCTGTGGAAGAGCAGGCTGTTCACATTATTCACAGGAACTTCCCTCAGTTTAGCAAAGTGTTAAGAATAATCCAATAAAGCAGGGCATTGGTGGTGCACACCTTCAATCCCAGCACATAGGAGGCAGAGGCAGGCAGATCTCTGTGAGTTCGAGCCCAGCCTGGTCTACAGAGCGAGTTCCAGGACAGCCTCTGAGGCAACACAGAGAAAATCTGTCTCAAAAAAACAAAATAAATAAATAAATAAATAAATAAATAAATAAATAAACAAACATCATCCAATAGCTTATTAAGGCTATGATCAGGAGCACTAGGGGGTAAAAATCAAGTAAATTTGAGCCTATTTATTGAAGAATCAAAATAATCTCTGTGCACTGATTTTCTTACAAGTAAAAAGGGAACTAATACCCAGAGACCAAGGGCATCATTTTATATTAGGCCATGTAAAGCTAATTCAAAGAAGAAATTTCTTAACTGTGTAGTAAATAACTGTTACTCACCGGCAAGATAATTCTCCATCCATAGCATCATGTTCATCTGTGTTTAAGTATGTTAATCTCCCTCCCACAACGGTGCCAACTAAGTATATCAGCCATGCAAGGCGTCCTTACAACAAGAAAGAAGAAAGGTGACAAGTGTTTGTATAGATAAGCTTATTTTCCAGAAAAATTCCTAACTGAGCAAAATCATATATTCTTTTAAATAAATAATTAACTATTATGAAGTCAGTTTTCAACACACAGTAGAACATTGGGTTTCATGTTTACTAGCAGGTCTTCCCATAAGGAAAAAAGTATATATATGAATCCCAGTTCTACCAATCTGTTTCAATTTTATGAGTTACTTACCATTAGGTTTTCATTTGCAAATGGAGAAAAGTAAGATGTGATTAAAGTTAAACTTAATAGATCTGGTCATGGTGATACACACCTTTAAAACCAGCAGTAGGGAGGCAAAGGCAGGTGGATTTTTGAGTTGAGACCAGCCTGGTCTACAGGGTAGCATTTACAGAGACTCAGTCTCAAAAAACAAACAAAAAGGAAATTAAGCTTGATAATAAGATTCTAAATGTATTGTATGACCAGTCCTGTTCTCCAGCCAAAAGCACGCTAATTGTGGTCACAGTGGTACATGGTGGTAATTGAGCACTGAGGAGAGGTGGGGTGCTAGAACAAGAGGACAGCAGGGTGTCCATGAATTGCAGGCTAGCCTGGGCTGTACTTTCATGTTTTGCTCACTCCCTCCCACAGCCCCCCACCCCACCCCCAGCAAAAAAAATAATCATTATTGTGGGCTGGATATGATAGTATACACAGGACTTGAAAGTGTGAGGCATAAGGACAGTAAATTTGAGCTTACTCCACAGGAATTTCTAGGTCACTCTGGGGCACATGTGAAGACTACACACAACAACAAATCCTCTTATCACCAATGACAACCTCTGTTCTGAATGGTCAATTTTATGATGGTGTCTGTCTACCCATTTTCATTTGAAACTATTTTGCTTGTCACACTACAGATAGTGAATTTATTCTTTTTAGGTTTTTAAAAATATTTTAAAATCCAGATTTTTTTTCTGTCACTAGTTGTTTTATTTTTTTCAAAATTTTTTATTTGTATTAGAAACAGGATTGATTTACATGACAATCCCAGTTCCCTTCTCCCACCCGTCCTCCCCTACCACCATCCCCCCAACTAAAACCCTATCTATCACATATCCTTTCTGCTCCCCCTGGATGTTGAGGCTTTCCATAGGTAAAATCCAGATTTTTTTTTTTTATGTACTTCACCGATTATTGGGTTGTCGAAATAGCTAAAAACATCAAAGATTACACAGATTTAAGTAATGGAACAAAGAGCTAGGGAGTTAACTTAGTGAGATGTCTGCTTCATAAGCACCCGAGTTTGGTCTTCAGAACCCACATAAAATAAAATGGGTGTGGTGGCACCCACTTAAAAGCCAAGCACCAGGAAGCAGAGACAGGCAGACTGCTGGGGCTCCCTGTCCAGTCAGCAGTCTAGCCTATGTGTTAAGTTGCTGGCTGGTTAGTGAGAGAGCCTGACTCAAAAAACAGCAAACAGCACAGAAGGAAAAGCATTTGAGGTTGGACTATGGTTTCCACATAAATATACACATGTGCATACACACAAATGAACACATGATCTCACACACACACACACACACACACACACACACACACACACACACAGCAACCCACCAGAGTGGAAATATCTATAGTTTTCACAAATTTTATTTTAGAAAAGCCAAAATTAATAACTTTAGGAATGAAATTATTAGATAAATGATTTTTAGGGAGTATTATGTTATGTCTCTGGATTTACCAGTACTAGTACTAGATTCTCTAAAAACTTTTGAGATCTGTAGGAATATTTAACAACACAAAAATGTCATTCCACAAAGAAATCTTGTGTCATTTTTGAAAGCTGAGTTTTCAAAGATAAGGCACCCACAACTGGGTGGTGTCTCACAACTCTCTGTAACTCTAGCTCCAGAGGATGCAATGCCCACTTCTGATCTCTGTAGGCACCAGGCATGCACATGGTGCAAATATTTGTATGTAAGCAAAATACTCATATACATAAAAGTAAGCAGATCTTTAAATAAACAAGGGTATTCCTGTGACCTCTGTGTTTGCCTAAATTTGTTGAATAGTTAAGAAAAGTCCTGTGCTTGTTAAAGGACTTGGTAGGACAAATACATTTTCAACAAAATCTTTCCTGCAGATGTTAACATTCATGATTATACTGCAGTAATCAACAAACTAGTGCCTTGGAAGAGCAGGGGATCCTCAACCTGCTTCAATAACAAACATCCTATAAATAAATTCATTTTAGCAACTATGCACTCTTTTGTCTATCTCAAAAACTTGAACAAACCAGAAACTGTTAATTTTGTGGCATATCCGTTAACAACAGGAAAGAGTTAAAGATGAAGAACTAATATGATCAAGGAATACATCACAAAACAAGACAAGTTCCACAGCGTGTATGAAGAAAGATACCAGCACAAAGCCCATGGAAGAATTTGGGTTCATGTCTGTGCTTCCAAAGTGTTTCCAGATCAACAGAAAGTCTACACTATATATAGCTCCCCTGAAAAGCATGCTAACAGTTAGTGTGGCTTTTTCTACCAAGCTTCTTGAATCTTGCAACTTGAATATGGAGTAAGTATTCATGATCCTCATATCTCCTTCTAGGATACTCTTTTTATCATAAAAATACTCATCCTTACATCTAACATCAACAAATTATGAATACTCTTTGTTGATGTACTTATATACTTTCCTGCAGATTATTTCTCCTTATTTTAAGAACTGGACCCAGGCTCACTGACAGTTTTCCCAACAATATTTTATCATAATAGTTGCCAATTTCAATATTGATAAAGACATATCTTATAACCATGACAATCTGTGTTCTACTGGGGATCACCTAACCCATCAAGTACTACATTTTAACAGGTCTGCTGAAACAAAAACTCATATACCATACAACTCAGTCTTAATGACTAAATTCACAGGGTTATGCAGCCAATACTACAAAATTTTTAAGTGTTTTCCTATTTCCAAAATTAAATTTAACAATGATTAAGTGTGCTAAAATTACACTTGATAGAGCTAGGAGTGGTAGTGACATCTCCTCTCTGAAGGAACAAAAAGCATGCCATTGTTTGGAGAGGTCACATTTTATATACTCCTTCAGTTGCTGGATGTTGGAATTATTTTCATGTCCTAGCAAATATAGAATACTGTGATGGACACTGTATACACTGTGTAAATGCTTGCCCGCACATCTCCACATAGGAGTGGACTACTTTGTCATCTGGAGCCTCTATCGTACTGAGAATCTCTCACATTGTTTTCATCAAGCTGCACCATATAGCAATCCTACTAATGAAGGGTGAAGTCCTATGTTCCACAAATGTTGTTACTAACACTTGTAATTTTTGGTTTTTTGTTTCTCTTTACATCTATCCTAGTGGGTGTGAGATGCCTTCCCTCATCACTAATGGTTTTTGGCATATTTTCATGTGTTAACTGGCTACTTTTATGCCTTGTGTGGAGAAAAGTCTATTTAAATTCTTTATCTATTTTCAAGATTTGTCACTATTATTGAGTTTTAAAAGTTCTTCACTGTATTTTTTGTAGGTTTTATTTTCACCTTCTTGATGGTGTTCTTCTGATATACTCCAACTACCTATTACTGTTATTGTCTGTTTGGGGATGCTTGCTGAGAAAGATATGCCTAACCCAAAATCATGAACATTTATAACCATGTATCCTTCTGAGAGTTACTTGGCCTCTTATGTTTCGGTTCAAGAATTCTAGCACAGACACCAGAATAGATGAGAAAGAGGAATACAGGAACTCAGCCCCAGCTATCAGCTAACTACAATGGCTAAAAAGCCCAAAATTGAGATAATAAAGCAATTGTTAATTAATAAATCACTAAGCTTTGGCAACAAATAAGTAGAACACAGTCCCCCTCTGCTTCACTGCTTTCTATTTTAACACATAAGGACTTCTAACATATTACATATCTTATACAGCTGCTCTTAATTATTGTCTGCAACTCTAACAGGCTATAATCTTCATGACAACAGGTACTATTGCCTATTTGATTTCCTAATCAACTCCACAATTTAAAACATAGCCTGGCATGTTTTATCAGTTTAACATTAGCAACTTACTAAAAATAAACTAATTAAATTTCTTATTTAAGTTGTATATTCTACATAAGATGTGCTACAATTAATTCTTATTTGTAGATTCCCTATTTATTTATTCATTTATTTCTGAGACAGGGTTTCTCTGTATAGCCCTGGCTGTCCCAGAACTGGCTCTGTAGACAAGGTTGACCCTGAACTCAGAGATCTGTGTCATCACTACCCAGGGAATTCCTGATTTTTTAAAATTTACCTTTTTGTTAAAACTTACCTGTAACCCTAAATTGGTACTCAAATAATTCACATATATGTGCAGAACATTAAGGCTGAGTTGATTGGTCTACCCAATTCCAGCTCCTGTTGAGCAATGTGACCGTCTTGCCTTGTTTCAGCACTAACCAGAATTTCTTTTTGGTCTCTTTATTGCTATTGTTTTTTCCCCCATTTTATATATACCATTAGTGATTTCAATCTTTGAGATAGCCCAGCTGTCATACTGAAGTGCTATGTAGTATTCCTAAATGGGGTGTGTGGCCAGGGGCATTATGTACTCTACTGGTTTGAATGAGATGATACACTTAAGTCTCAAGCACTTGAATACTTGGTCCCCAGTTGGTGGCCATTTGGGAAGGACAAGGAAGTGTGTCACTGGGGGTGGGGTGGGGGTGGGCTTAAGGTTTCAAAAGCTTCCTGCCACTGCCACTATGTCTTTGCTTTCTGTTTGTGAATGGGAATATGAATTCTCAGTTGCCACTCCAACACCATGCCTGCTGACATGCTATGGCCATGATGGTGATGAACTCCTAGCCCCCTGGAACTGTAAGATCCAATTAAATGCTTCCTTCTCCAAGTTGCCTTGGCCATGGAATTTTTTTTTTTTTCATGGCAATAGAAAAGTAACTAAGACATGTGCCTTCTA